ACGAAGGTTTAGTCATAATTAACGCCGTAGATCTATTCAAAACCTCGAATTACCCAGCGTACTTTATAGAGAATAAAGCCATCAAGTTTCTTCTTTATCTTATAGACCCACCTACCAATAAGAACTAGCATATCCTTCATCCTCGAAATAAGCTTCCAAGTATCCATTATAACAAAGGAATTCATTTACTTATTTATAGCCTCCTTTCATTATTTAGCATAGGAGCCAGCCATTACCTAGTCATAGATCAATAGCTCGAAATCGTCAATCTCCGCAATAGCCTATTAGCATCTCATATCAGCTATTTACTAAACAGCAGCAGCGAGGTCAAAGACGGGATCGAAGTCATAATAATCTAGATCCTTATAACTCAGTATAACTTGCCTACAATATAGGCGTTCCGATTCAAAAGTCTTATCACACTTGATGTGAATAATGGCCCTCTAGGCTCACATTTTAGTATTATTTCATTTATTATTTAAAAGAACTTTCTGAAAAGGTATAGGAGTTCGTTTTAGTCGAGAATTATATATCGTATTAAGATATAGATCTGGGTAAACAATAGGGCTACCTCGAGGTATCTCTTTAACATCATCATCGTTGGATTCTTCTAGGCCCACATTACTATCTCCTACATCTCCGACTTCTCCGATTTCTCCGATATTTCCATTAAAAAGAATATTTCTAATTTTGTTTATATTAATAGGGCCCGCGTCGATATCGACAACGGCCTTAGATATATATTAGTGCACTATAGAGTTACTCTCTATATTAAATATATCTATTATATCATTATTAATAACCTCGACTAATTAATAGTCAATATTCGAGACCGCAGTAATTATTATTCGTAATTTATCAAAATCGATATAAGAGGATTATTTCACTTGCCGAGTGGCTAGATTTTATACTTAAAAGATATTCATACCTTTATAGCTAATCAGATAGCACTTCTTACTATATTTATCGAGCTTCTTACGCTTTTCTTTAGATATATATACCTAGACAACGTAGCCGATAATCTTCATATATTCGAGATATAGTTATTCGCCTATTTATATCTCATATAATATTATGCCCTAAAGGCGGGTAGTAGAACTCCTATTCTTTTAATATACTTTAATATAAAGTAGTTCTAATCACAAATAGTAGGATAACTTCAAGTTAAAAAGTATAGCCCTTATCTTATTTATAATAATTCGATTTTATACCTCGCTAAGTCTATTTTGCTTAGGCGTATAGAGTATAATAGACTTCTATATAATTCCGAAGTCCTTAAAATATTCTTTAAACTTACTATTAATAAATTCGATACTATTATCTAGACGAATTATCTTGACCTTACAACCGAATTCGTTTTCTATCTGAGTTTTCTAGTTATGAAATAATTTGAAGGTCTTATCCTTATACTTATATATAAAGTACCAGATTTAAAGGGTCGCTTAATCGATTAGAAGCATATAGTACTTGGCCCCATTAATAGACGATACATTGAAAGGTCCTCCCAAGTCCATATAGATCTTATCGAGTTTTTCGAGTACCTCATATTATACTCTTTTTAAAATCTTTCATATAGATTTAGTCTTAAAATAGACCTTATATATTAATCTAACCCGAGATTTCTAAGTTAGTATAATGCCCTTACTTATATTAACTAGTCTCTTAAAGTCCGCCTCGTTTAGATATTTCATTTAACGATATTATAGCTCAATAGCTTCCTCGTTAAATATTAAGCTTATTATTAAGGCTCTTATATTCTCCTAAATAAGTATTAAAACCTTAATTATAGACTGTAAGATACTAAGGATATAGATATTATTTATCTTCGAAGCGCTATCAATAAGCTTACTATCTTAAAGAATATAATAGTCATCATTAAGAAAGGTGATTTTAAATCCTTTTCGTATGACCTAACTAATCGAAAACAATCCGCATATAAGATCCAGAATATATAAGACTTTACTAATTTTCACGATATTACTAGATCTATTCTATAATAGCTATTTTATTTCAATTATATCGCAGCCCTACGTTTAAACGATAATTCTATTAGCTATTATAACACCTATATAATATAGCTAATAATCGATAAACTCGTCTTTATCGAAGAATATATAATTAGTATAGTCTAAGTTTATCATTTATTCGTATATGATAGTAGATTAACTATTTATATGTGCTGTATAGAAGAGAAAGTGAGTTAAGAATTCATATAACAATTCGTTAATTATTTCGATATCCTCTAAAGAATTAAGTAAAGAGTTAAGGATATTTTTAGTCTCCCGACTTACCTCACTACTTAATTTTAAGCTGACATTAAGCTAAGATATTAACTAATTCCCTATATTCTCTTATAATTCTTACAATTTAGCTATTTCGATTAAGAGATAATCGAGAGACTTAATTTCGAGCTCTTTATTTATCACTCCTTCATCTAATTTAGATGTTAAGCTGTTAGCTAAGTAGCCCCAATACTCTTCATCTCTTACAGTATCCCCACCATCGATTATAATATAGGCTATTACTGAAATATAAGTATGATTTTAATTTACGAAATCGTCCGGCCTATTAATTATATTAATCATATTCGCTTTAGACTTAAAGTTTAAATTATTATTACTATTATTATTATTATTATTATTTCGAAATTAATTAGATATCTTTTTATTATAAAGAGTCCAGCAGCTATACAATTAATACCTCTTCTTACTTCTATTTAATAATAGTAAGTACTTTAAATACTTAGATATATTATCTAATCCCTTATAATAGATACTATTCGAGTTATTTAATAGAGAATTAAAGTTATAGTTATTATTTCTACCGTTATTTCCACCTCGGCCTTATTCTAAAGTATTACTCCTATATTTTAAATTATTATTATCTCTAAAGGCCTTCTTATCCTCCTATTCCTTATAATATTTCTTTATAATAATAGTCATAGCTTATTCCTTATTATCTCGCTTAAGAAGACAGTTTTCTTCATAAAGAAGTATAACAATTTTATTAAAGTCTAATATGTTATTAAGTTATATAATAAGATGATATACAAAGTCCTTATACTTTTTATTTAAATTATTTAATAATAGGATAATAAGAATCTATTTATCGATTAGAGCTCCCATACGCTTAAGGTTCTTAAATTTTATATATATATTAGTAATATAGATCTTAATCGAGTTATTATTATTAGTTATAATAATGTTTTATAGTTCCTACAACTTCGTAAAGCGAAGTACGAATCCGAAGTCAATATAGTCGATTTGAAGTCTAATCTATCTTATTATAATTACCTCCTCATCTTCTATTACTTTAATTGATTTGTCCTCACACATCGAGTAAATAAGTTCCAATACTTAATTATTAAGGTTCTTCTAGACCTTCACCTCGACATTATAAGTTAAAACCTACTGATTAATAGGCCCCAATACGGTAATTCTTATACGATGAGTTTTATTAGCTAGTATATTCGTAATAGTAATTTTCTTTAATAGGTCGTCTGGAAATAGTATTGATCCTTATTTCACTATGTTCTATAGACCGTAGTACTTTAGAGTACTCTTTATCTTCTTTAACCACGACTAGTAGTTTTCTTACTCTTTAAGCTTTAAAAAATTCTAGATCTAAATTAATATAGCTGCGTGTATATTAAACGCCTACGTAGCTATCTTATATAGCTATCTATAGAAGAAAGGATAAAAGAGTGAATAGAAAATATATAGTAAGAATGTGGGAATATTCGTTTAACTCCCACAACACCAAATCATTAAATAGGTGAGTGTTCCTAGTTAACAGTGTAGAGACCATGGTAGCGAAATTCCGGGCTTATAACCTATTGGAAATGGTATGCACTCAATAGTCTCATATTAATGTAGAATGATTGTTTATTGTTATATTCTATAAAGAAGTATGTAGTAAGGATGGAGGTGATTACCTATCTATGGTGTGAAGCCACGCTAAGGCTATTTGCCACCATAAGGCGTAGTCACAACACCTATTTGGAACTTAGTAGTGTGTAGAAATCCTGGCCTCCTATTGGCTGATTCCAACACAAGGTTTCAGGACTGCAGCTAGACTTCGTATAGCAATCGTCCCTCTTTCATGCTCTCGAGAACCAGATCATGCAAGGCAATCACCCCACGTGTTGCGAAAATGCATCTCCACGATCTTCTAGAGGCTAGCAGGGCCCATATGCACTATCAGGCAATTCTATCATCGGAAACCCTGGTCATCTCATCTGCATTCTGCCATGCTTACATACTGTTAGAGATTCCGGACTATCCAGTGATTCTTGACTGAATTTGATCGACCTTTTTCACGGCGAGATGCTGATTGGTCAATTTTGAGATAGGCGCCCGGACTATGAGTTCCGCAGCAACTCCCGTTTCATGAACCTTGCTCCATGTCAAAAGCCACGGGAAGAGAGCGGGAAGAGAGCGGCCTTTTAAAATCCATCCAATTACCCATCGCTTGAGCAGAAGTGCGTGATCGAACAGTCGTAGCGGACAATCTCCGGACAGTGACGGGTACTATATTCGGCGATACGGAATTGTCCTACGTGCACCAGGTGCAACGCGAAAAAGAAAGAATTCATAAGAAAGAGAAACATCATTGCGTCAGCGAGCCATAGTGCTATTTTAAGTGGTGGCTCAGCGACACTCTAAAAGCCACACTAGAGCACTGTGCCAGGAGGCTGCAGTAAGGCAGGAATCCTTTTGCCTTTTAGGCCAATGGTTCTCAATGCTAATAATGATGCCGTGACCCCCACCACACCCTTTCACATACAATGATGTCGAAGTTCGACGGGGCAGTGTCAGGCTGAATGTGGCTGATTCGACGAGCGCGAGGCTTCTACTCAAGAAGAAGCAGTCAATGCAACACATAAGACTCGCCATGGACTACAAAATGGACGACTCGATTCGTTACTTTCCATATCAGCAATCATTTGTTCAAGCGAACGTTCAAAGTCTCTTCACTTTCTCCCCTAGAAGCCGCTCGCCATGCCAACTCCTCAATGGGAACCAGCCGAGGTACTCCGACTTGACCCCTACTCATCCGGCTTCACATGTATCGGCTACGCCCCGTCGAAAGGCCGGAGATGTCGTAACCCCATCGCATGTGCCAACCGTCAGGACTCTGCAAAGATACTACTGGAGATGTCGAGACTTGATCCTCAGTCCCAAAGAGTCGATGACGAACTTGAAGACCTAGCGTCTCGCCTTCTTTGCAGGAGATGGCACCAGGACCAAGCACTAGATATGAAGAGACAGTGGCGACGTAACATTGAGAGTTACCGAGCTGCCGAAACTGCTCGTCTACGTGAGCGTACGGAGTACCTGGTGCAACTCCTATTCACAGCTGCAGAAGTCCGGGCAGAGCGATCGAGCACAGTCCGGGCAGAGAGGTCGAGCACAGTCCAGGCAGAGCGGTCAAGCCCAGTCCGGGCAGAGAGGTCGAGTGCAGTCCAGGCACAACAGTCGAGCACAGTCCAGGCAGAGAGATCGAGTGCAGTCCGGGCAGAACAGTCGAGCACAGTCCGGGCAGAGAGGTCGAGTGCAGTCCAGGCACAACAGTCGAGCACAGTCCAGGCACAACAGTCGAGCACAGTCCAGGCAGAGAGATCGAGTGCAGTCCGGGCAGAACAGTCAAGCACAACTCAGGTAGAGCATTCAAGTATAGTCCGGGCAGAACGGTCGAGCACAGTCCAGGCAGAGAGGTCGAGTGCAGTCCGGGCAGAACAGTCGAGCACAGTCCGGGCAGAACAGTCAAGCACAACTCAGGTAGAGCATTCAAGTATAGTCCGGGCAGAACGGTCGAGCATAGTCCAGGCGGAGCGGCCAAGCACAGTCCGCACGACCCCATCTCTGGCGCCTTCCACTTTGGCTCAAACTCGAGCAACGACCCTTAGGATAGACCAAACCGCGACTTCGGTGGTGCACCTATCTATTCACGTCTCCTCCTCAGCAACCCTGTCGATTACCACTGGAGAAGAACCGGGAAGAAGAGAGAACAATGATTCAAATGAAGGAGAATCCAGACGGCAAACGGACCCAGACCCTAACTCGTCGAGCCCGCCGGAAGCACTACCGCAAGAAACAAATCAGCCGGAAACCAACCCATCCCCAATTCCATCCGCGGCCAACCTCACCACACCAAGAGAAGAAGCGGCAAACGCAACGTCATCCGAAGCGCCTATCCCCGAACCACCCACACCCTCACACCACTCCCACGACCGCAGACCCATACAAGGCGACTGCTCTATCTGCTTCGAAGATCTCAGCAGCGGTGGCGACACCGTATGGTGCAGAGCACAGTGCAGGCAGAACCTCCACGCCGAGTGTGCCAGCCTTTGGCTTGCTTCGCAAGAGGCGATTGGACGGGTGAAGACGTGTCCGTACTGGTAAGAGGTCCTCTGCATGAAATGGCTGGAGGACTATTGCTGACATGGATACAGTCGCGCGCAATGGGCGGAATGAAGTGGTCCCGTTGCCGCGTTTCTGTTTCGAGAGGCAGCGGTTGAGGGGTTCTTGGAGTGAATGGAAGACGCTTTGAAGGCAGTGCTGGGAGTTTAGGTCGAAGGGATCATGTCTCTTGTTTTTTCGAACGCGTAAAGATCACAAGCTCTAGGCGCAGCGGTTCTCATATGTTGTAGAGATTTTTGGCGTTGGGTAATGAAAGACGACTGTGGAATGCTTAACGATGATGCGATATGCAAACGATTATGATTTTTTTTACGACCAGTTCTGGGTGGGAGGTTGATAAGGTTATGGCAAATATGAATTCCTTTGGGCTATCAATTCAATCTACCCCACACGTCATGCCACCACTTCCCGAAAACACCATGCACATCGCAGCGAACCTCCCTTCCTAAAATCTGATAGTGCTCTCGTGAGCCACGCGATCTGCAACAATCAAAAGGCCTTGATTGTGGCCTGCGACCGATCAGTTTGGTCATTGAATGACATGGGTCTAACAGCTTCTCTCATGTCCCGTAGCCATTGACTCATCTTCTCCGCCTCTGCTAGCTTGCCCTGTTTGCTGTAAAAGCCTGCGCAATTGTGTCAACATGGTCCCGGCCGAATGATTTCTCTCTTCCCTCCAGTGCCCGCTGGTACATCTTTTCGGCTTCTGCCATCCTGCCCTGTTTAACATAGAGACTGCCTAAGCTGTTGACAGTATCGAGTGTGTCAACATGGTCCCGGCCAAAAAATTTCTCTCTTCCCTCCAGTGCCCGCTGGTACATCTTTTCGGCTTCTGCCAGCTTCTCTTGAAGATGATAAAGACTGCCCAAGTTGTGAACGATCTTGAGAGTGATTTCGTGGTTGGGGCCCAATACTTTCTCTCCTTCGGTCAACGCTTGTTTATACAGTTTCTCCGCCTGTACTAACTTTCCTTGTTTTTGATATATCAATGCCAGATTGCTTATACAGGTCAGCGTTTCTGGATGGTCTTCTCTTAGTAGTCTTTGTCCCGTTTCTAGCACTCTCATTTCCAAGTTCTCCGCCTGTACTAACTTTCTTTGCCGTTGATATGTCGATGCCAGACTGCTCATACTGTTCAGCGTGTCTGGATGATCTACTCCTAGTATTCTTTCTCTCGTTTCTAGCACTCTCGTTTCCAAGTCCTCCGCCTGTGCTAACTTTCCTTGTTGATGATATGTCGATGCCAGATTGCTCATACTGATCAGCGTGTCTGGATGGTCTGCTCCTAGTAGTCTTTGTCTCGTTTCTAGCACTCTCGTTTCCAAGCCCTCCGCCTCTTCCCACCGTCCTTGTCCTCGATACATCCATGCCAGATCGTCTATGCTGGTCAGCGTGTCTGGATGGTCTTCTCCTAGTAGCCTTCGCCTCTCCGTAAACCGCTTTCGAAATTTCTCCCGAATCTCATTCATCTCTTGCGTCGCATACAGAAAGGGTAGATTCTCGATTGCAGCCGGGTGCTCGACCGGAGAATCCGGTAGACCATCTGGCGACTCCGACCTATCATGAGATGCCGCGAGGTCGACGCTCTCGGCGCTTGAACTCGACTCAGCATCCTGGTCCTCACTAACGTCAGAGTTTTCCTCACCGCCGGGCAGAATGAATAGAGCAAGTTCCTGTAAATGACGAGCAAGGTGACGATGGTAATGCTTCCCTGATTCGATTTCTTCCATGCACAAAGGACAGGCGGCAAACCCCTGACCTTCTTTTGGTGTGCCATCATCCATCGTCGCTGCTGGATGAACCATATCTGAGTGGTGTATCCATTCATGTCTTGTCGTGTACAGCTTGTCCGGAGTCGCGCATGTTGGGGCTATGCAGATATATGGCTGTAGATCTTGGAAGACATGCTTGTTCCATGAGCGAGTTCCATGAACAGTAACGAGATAGAAGCAATAAGGGCACTCAAAGGGATTTCCTCCCAAAGAACTTTTAGGAGGCGGAGGAATAGCGATATTCCCTCCACTGAGTAGGGTTGGCGCATAGGAGGTTTGTGATATACCCGTTTCCTCCAATTCTGGTAGATGGGCTGGTCCGCTTTGTAGATGGTGTCCAAACCATCAAACATTGGCGACGATATCGCGCCAGACATCAAGAATGTGCCGACATTATGGGGACCCAAGGGGTGTATTATCAGGACACGTTGGAACAATTGCTAACAGACATTGTCCAATCCGAAGATGAGATCACAGACTTGATGGCCCAGCCCAAAGGAGCTATCTGGAAGAGGCCGGAGTATGAGGAAAAGCTGAGACAACGGTTAGGCCGTTCTTATGAAGTGTATCTGCACACTTCGAACAAGATGGTGAAGGCTCTGTGTACAATGTGCGAGAAGCTGGGAGTCGACACCTCAGGCAAGGTTGGTACCAAGTCTCGCTCCATCCGTCAACGCCACCGGCGGCTAAATATGGGTGTTTTCCAACAGGTTCTCCCGGATGATTCCTCGAGAGTGGAGCGTGAGATGAAAAGGATTAAAGTCACCTTATCGAAAAACATCCACAAGGAAGCCCTAGATATGATTGACAAAGCTAATAAGGACCTTCGAGACATTACGCATCAAAACATCTACCTGGAGCCACACCGAAAAAAGCGCCGGTCACGGCGTCCATTAGCTGAGTTGAAGCTCGTAAGAAAGCATGCCACAAGCCTCTATCACGTCTTCATTACCGGCAAAGCCTGGAAATGTAGCTGCAAGATGCTCCATATGGCCAGCCTGCGACTAGAGTCACGGCCTGAGGTACTCGAAGCAGTAAATGCAGACACTGCACCGAAAATGAGGTTTCGGATCTTGTTGTCCACCATCCAGGAAAGAGACAGTCCGCGGACGACCTCCCAGTGGCAGGAAGTTGAGGTCATACCATCACTGGATAAGAAAGTTCCTGACGCCATCAGCGTTGGGCCGCAAATTTCGACTAGGGGCGTGAGGTTCGGAACAGACGCAGCTTCCATCCCAACGGCGAGCTCTTCACAAGAGCCTGCAACTGAGTATGACTGCGGGTTAATTCATGACATGTGTAGCACATTGTGCGCGAGACACGACTCAAAAAAGCCAATGGGATTCCTTGTGGATGAAGAGGACGACACGCACAAGCACTACGTATATCGAGCTAACACCACGATTGGTCCCGAGAGCCGATCAAAGTCGCTCGGTGATCTTCTGAGCTGCTCTGGGCATGGATCATCCAGCGCCCCACTTTTGAGAAGTGACCGTCTTCAAATAGCAGTGACGCTTGCATCAAGTGTCCTTCAGCTAGACGGAACGTCATGGCTCAAATCACAGTGGAGGAGCAAAGACATATTTTTCCATGAGAAGAGCAACGATGCCAGTCATCCAAGCTACCCGTATCCTTACCTGACATGGAAGCTCTGCATGACCGATAGTAACATTTCTGGCTCTCTTGACTCGCTTTTCTGTGGAACCTTTATGATCCGCAGCGAAGTTCTCTATGCTCTGGGTCTAACGCTGATCGAACTCTGCTTCGGGAAAACACTAACAGAGATGCACGTTCCAGAAGATGGAGATCCGAACGAGTCAACCACGGAAATGAAGACCGCACACAGATTGTGTAGTTCTGTTTATAGTGAAATGGGAACTCGATACGGTGACGCAGTCTGGAGGTGTTTGTATCAGCCATTCGATGTGCGGGACATGAGCCCTGACAATGAACAACTGCAGCAGAAGGTCTTCGATGACATTGTCACTCCTCTCAGTGATGACCTGACTAATTTCAATGGAAGATCAAGAATTAAATAGGCATCAACCTGTTGGTTGAATATCGGTCAAGATGCTGCTTCAGCAGCAGGCTTTCGGTCGTGCTTTGGTAGAAAGCAGTCCCTGCCAGGCCTTCTTTGCGGTCTGAGAGAAGCTCAAGGAGTTGAAGGTGGCTGTCACCTGAGCAGGCTGGGAGGACGTCGCTTTCTTTCGTACATCGATCTTCGATTCGTGGATTTCTTGTTGATTTAGCGAATCACAATGGGAAATTGAAGGAAGGCTTTGCGAAGTAGAACCCTCCGACAAGCACAACTTCTGTACATGATCTCTAGCTATGCCGTAGATTCTGTGGTTTCTACAGAGGTCACCAAAGGTCCTCGGAATTGCCCCTGGTCGGTGCCCGGCTTGGGGCTTAAGCCCCACCTGGAAGTCCCTAAAATCTAAGAAACTTCAGGGCCGCCTTCCGATAACAGGGGTAGGGCTGCCGCTAGCGCTGTCCTGAGCCGACCTCCGTACCTCGTCTATCTGGGTGATATCGGTCAATGGCCATTGACTGGAGTTTCCAATCTGGACCCATTGGTACCGTTCATTAACTCAAGACCGGCCGCACCTCTCAGCCTCCTACAATGGTATCGCACTCCCCTCCTCCCGCCATGGGTCGAATCTACAAGCCCAGCAAGCTAACACCCCCCCAGTCCTTCACCCGCTTCCTCGCCCTCCCCCTCGAAATCCGCAACCAGATCTACGCCTCCCACTTCCGCGCCACCACCATCACCTACCCCACCTTCACCCTCCCACCCCTCCTCTCCACCTCCCACCGGATCCACACCGAAGCCCTCCCCTCCCTCCGCCCCAACGCCACCTACAACCTCCTCACCACCGAGCACCTCGTCGACCACCTGACCACCCTGACCCCGGCCTCCCTCGCCCAGCTCCGCCACATCTCGCTCCGCGGCTTACCGCTACCTGTGTACCCCTCCGACGACGACTCGTGCTATCACACGCACCTCTTTCCCAGCTTGCTGCCCTTGTTCCAGGGGTTGCGGCTTGACACGTTGGAAGTGACGGATGCGTATCATGGCGAGGATGTGTGTGAGGATGGGTGGGGCCATAACGCTACGTATTATGATCTGGAAGGAATGATCAAAGAGGGTCAAGGGTGGAAGGAGCTGGTGTTCAAGAGTGCAAGTGATCGCTGGTTGGATGCCGTCGTCTTTGAGAGTCGCGCGGCGGATGGGGCGGTGACGAGGGAGACGAATGGTCGCGATAAGCAGCCGGGGGCGTGGGATAGGATGATTAAAGAGAGGGATGGGGAGGAGTCTGGGGCGAGGGTTGAGATGTGGTCGCGTAGGGAGGGCGGGGTATGGAGGAAAGTTGAAGGGGATTACAATGCGGAGGTGGAGGATCCGGCGGGGCAAGATTGTTTTGAAGGGAATGGTGAGCCGGTGCTATCGATTGAGCGGCAAGGGGATGATGAGTCGGATGTTGGGCCGGTGCGGCCTTCGATTGAGGTGAGAGTCAGGAGGGGGAAAGGTGCTGAGTATGTGCAAGACGGGAGGTCTATGGATGAGCATAAATACAGTCGTAAGTTGCGTGAGATGTTTGAGAAGCTGGGTTGGAAGGAAATCAAGGCGCAGGGACTGTTTATCCCTGGAGCAGAGGATGATCCGACTAGTCATCTTTGATATCAATCGCTGCTCGGGACCGAAGGCGTGGGCTCTGATTTGCATAGGTGTTGCTTAAATGGAAATTTCAAGTGCTTTGTGGGAGGTTTTTGGGTTTTCTTTTTTTAGCTATGTACAAATTTGAAGCAATATGAGAAATTTGCTGGCGCTGCTTGATAGTCAGAGCGGTGATTGTCCCTTAGGACTTATTCCGCGCCATTCGCTACCGATGGATAAACGCTTTTCCTTCTCTGCATGATTCACCACCTTGTCCGTTAAATGTACTATTCCGACCATCGCATGATTGAGGAGCTGAGGCGCAAAGTAGGATATTAGATCGGCTTTTTGAGTGCACGTCAGATCCATCTCATGTCGTGGATGCGCAGCGTGAACACCTTGCTTTCTGCTGTCATTACCTTGATTGCAGCTTGCCCTTCCCCACCAATAAGCTCTGCTTTGTGCTTGCTGGTTCCTCCAGTAGGACCCACACCAGACGTGTTCAGTCGTTGTATGCTGAAGTCAGTCAGGTCAAGCTGGTAGACGTCGGTCTGAGACCGAGAGGCCTGGCCAGTGTAACCAAGTCCGCCAACGATGATGATCGACTCCTTTCCGGTTGTGGGGTCTACGAAGTATGTGGACGTGTGGAAGTCTGTTGGTGGGAAAGTTTCGACTGGATACCTATCGAGGTAAATGAACGTCAAGACATAACCATCACATGCGTAGGCCAATCTAGCAGCGGGACCTACCCGTAAATCTTGATGCACTCTGGGGTGAGCAGGGGAGGCGGATCACTTTTCTGCAGCGCGTCGAAGACTACCACATCTGCCATTTAGTCAGTGGATGGGGCCACTGGGAGCTGCAGGAATCAGATCCATGAGGTAATTTTGAAACACGCTCTCACTTGTTGCCTGTTAATGGCGCGTGGAAAGGGCTTACCGTTGTATATACAGAAATCTGGATCGTAGCCATCCTCATGCTCCCCAGCTATGCAGACGACGCGGCCATCAGGAAGCTTTGTGCGCGTCGCGCCATACCGGGTAAAGCACCATACCGGGTCTTCAAAGTCTGCAAAAGGGTCTTCCGCATTTCCAAAAGTTGTTCGAGCTTTCCACGCGGGGAACCCTCCTGGGCCAACCTGGAACATCCAGAACGGTTTGTTCATGACAGATGGATTGGCTGTTCCCTTTGTGTTGGCTTCTCGGTCAGCGACATATTGTTCGCACGTGATTCGAAACAAGTCGCTCGCTTCTTCTTGACGGTAGCCCTCGAGCGGGTCACTGATTTCTGTTTTATAGGGACTTGTAACGCCATCTTCGTCTGTCTCTGAGGCCATGATGGCACGGAGTATGGCTCTAGATAAAGCAAAGCTATCAGACAGGTTCATTTAAGATCTGATTGGGCAGAGTTATGTCTGCAAAGATGAGGCGAAAATCTCAGGTGTCTTTGAGACATAGGTTTGGTGAAGCATTTCAAGTATGGACTAGTCATAGGGAGAAAGAATGATGATCAAACGTTGTTTGATATGAATGGTTCGACAAACATGCAGCGAGCCGGAAACAGGGGATGAGATTAGAGGCAGATCGAATGAAGAGTGTATCAGTTAGTACTGGCAAAACAAGTCCCAAGCGATTGATGAGTGAGACGCGAGCGAGAGACTTATGTGCTCTGCTAAGTCAACCCAAAGTTCTCACAACATTCGAGAATAACCCCCTTAATCATAAGTAGTCTGCAAGGATACGGGAGCTCCGCAGTAAACTTGAGGTGGCATAGAACCAAGGGCCGCATCGAGTAAGGTTCGCAAGATGAGAGGATGTCACTCACATGCTGTTCACGGAAAATTGGAAGACCCAAGCTCATATGGCATAAGCACCCAGAAGATCTAGCGTCGAACAATTCCACATGAGACAAATAGCAGCATCGTGGTAATCTCGAACTCGTTGGCCATTTGCTTTAGAATCGAAAATCGTCTACAGAATTTTGCTCCCTCGGCTGACTAAGCTCTCGGACATACCATACTCTTCAGATTGCTAATATCCGAAAAGCATCACCACAGGACACGGGTTTTCTCCGTCTCAGCAATTCTTGTTCTCCTCATCAAGGGAGGCTCGAAACGAGTTGATCACGCACTTCTGAACTCGGGAGACTGTTGTTGCTCTTATGTTACCATATTGATCGATCGATATAGCGCTTCGAACAACGACCTGGTCAGGATGGCAGATATGACCAAGGTCACTGACGGAGTTGCACAACATTCAGCAATATTCCCAAAGGACTATTACACATAGCCAGACGGGTAAGGAGAGCTCTTTAGAGGTGAGACTCAACACGCATGTAAAAATGCCCTTCCTCTAAGCAACATCTTGGGCGAACAGCCGCAAGGCGATTCATTGGTTCGTGTGACTGGCCAACTACCACGAGGATGACCGAACATCGCCGGCGCCACTATACAAGTTTATGATGACATCTCCCATACTCCGAACGTCTCCGATACCATAAAGCCATGATGGCATTTGCATACTCGCAATCTTTGCACGCTTCGAGCTGTCCAGTCCAAGGTCGTTACTTGTTGAATCTCTCCTTCCATAGAACAACGCTTTTTTCTTGCCTACTCGATTGACGAGAATCAAAATCATCCCCTGTCATCTATTTTGGGTCACCATCCTCAGTTGGGCTCTAAGATGAAACACATTATCACGTTGTCTATCTTGTGTTCCGCCGCCCATTCTGCATTCACCAACATTTCAATTACGTTCCAATCCACGTTGAGTCAAGGTAGTAACCCCTCATTCCTGTTTTCTGGCTTACGCCTTGCTTCCAACCCAAGAATTAAATACACCCAGATATCACTCCCGCTCCACAATATCCTACGGCCACGGCGGGAGCCACCACGGTAACCGTAATCCCAACACAAGTCGTCATCGGAGATGCAACTCTGACACGCAATGCTCCCGGCACACTCATCGCCGGCACGCCCGTCTCCTTCGGCTCCACCGCCCTGGTCATCGGTACCACCACCATGCCGTTCGCTACCTCCGGTGTAGCTCCGATTTACACCGTCGCTGGCCAGGTCATTGCCGCTGGACCTGCAGGCGTAGCCATTGCAGGCACCACAACCTCCAACAATGGGCCAGCGGTGACGGTTTCCGGGACGCCAGTATCGCTAGGCTCGTTCGGGTTGGTAGTCAATGCCGCGAGCACGTTCACGATACCGACAGTTCAGCCTTTGCAGTCTGTCTTTGCTGTTGGCGGCCAGTCGGTGACGGAACAGTATGGGCGGATCATTTTTCCGAGCACTCAGGCTGTTGCAAATACATCTACCGCCGCGACCGGAACAGCAGCGGGACCAATGCCGACCGGTAGCACCCAGTCATTCGTGGGGGCTGCAGTGAAAGCAAGAAACAATTTCAAAACGGCAGTGGTAGTGCTCTGCGCTTTTGTCCTCGTCGTCCCATGGGGATAATTGCCCAAAGCGAAAGCGCTGACAATCCCTCTCGTATCAGCATATTGTCAGATTAAAACAATGCACACACTCTGCCTTATGACTTTTTCTACCACCAGACCAAAATCAGGACGAGTGTCCTCACTCGTGAAGCTTGAATCGGTCCCGGTCAATTATCCTATGATAGATCTACCAGGACCCATCTACTTCCTTTTCCTTCTGCCCTTCTTCCCCATCACCCTCTAATCCTCCCCCGATCATCGATCTCATCCCCTAAATCCTCTCCCTCTCCCCCCTCGCTCTCGTTCTCATCCCCATGACCGCTTCCCACAACACCACGCCGCAGCACCACGCGCCGGTCACCCAACCGTCACACACAAAACCCCGTCTTCATATGGAAACGCGCAACGTGCCCCCCCCTCCTACAGCATAGTTCCAACCCTTCCTTCTCCAATCCCACTCACTCTATTCAATCCTCACACCATCCATCCATGAGCCCAGCTCTTCAGCGACTCGCTCAGCCAGATCGAGGAAAAAAGTAAAGCCCGAGGACGGAAATCATAAGTTGCCCCCTTTTTATGGGCACATGGAGTGGACGATTTGACATTTTGCTGGGATTGTCCGGCGTTTCAGATGACGGGGAGCGAACGCCGCGGCTGCTTGGCGTCGCTTAGGAAATAAAGTATGTCTTTTCGGACCCTTGTCGCTTACGTTATGTATGAAACAACTGTTGTTGAGGGTATCTACATAGTTCGTACAGTATTAGGTTCGATTCCTAATGGCGCTGGTACAATGGTGTTGCGGTGCTTTCTTATTTTCCGGCAGCGCCATTAGCCTCAGGTTTTTAAACTTCTTAACCGGGGATAGCCGTTGGTTCGAATTTCCCCGGTGCTTTCATGTCCGGAAAATGTTCGTTGGTTGGCTTAACCGTCCGGGGCGGACGCCTGTTGGTTGTGGTCGACAACGGCCGAACTTTAACGATCCTTCGTACTCTGTTTCAACGCCGAAACTTTCAACGTGTCGTGGTTATTAACGTCTTCATCCCTCCCTCCCTCTTCCTCTCCAAGGAACTAATCCCTCCGCCTCCCCTCAAGAAACAATGAAAAAAACAAGGAAGACTGAAAGTGAGGCCGCGCCCTCGAGTCAAAAAGGTCTTCTAGCTGCAGACAACGACCCCGACACCCTCTGGGCCCGCCCCGCCAGAACCCGCTACCTCAAGACGATAGCATTCGCCCTCCTCCCCAGCCCCGTACAGCGGCGTCTTGTGCCCTCCGGGTTCAAAGCGTCCCGCCTGCACCCCACCGCCTACCTCGACGGCCTTCGCGGTCTCGCATCCCTGTCCGTCTGCCTGCTGCACTACACCTCGAACTTCGCCCCGCGCCTCAACGCCTCCTACGGCGTCTCCGACGACAAGATGCATTCGTCGCCGCTGCAACTGCCTTTCATCCGCGTGCTGTACACCGGCCGGCCCTTCGTGCACGTCTTTTTTGTGATTTCGGGTTTCGTGCTCTCGCTGAAGCCGCTAAGGTTGGCGCGCGCGCATAACTACGCCGATCTGCACACCACGCTCTCCTCGTCCGTGTTTCGGCGCGGGTTGCGCCTGTATCTGCCGTGTGTGGCGTCGACTTTCGTCAGCTTCTGGTTCATGCACAATGATTGGGGTTATCCGCCGCTTGTCAAGGGGGGTTTCTGGCCGGAACTGGCGCACTGTTTCCACGAGTTGTGGGTGTTTGCTTCGCAGCCGTGGAATTGGGACAGACGGCAGGATCCGCCGTATGATGGTCATTTGTGGACGATTCCGGTTGAGTTGTCCATGTCGATGCTTTTGTTTATCACGATCACAGGCCTGTCTAGGTGTAAGACGTGGGTTCGCCTCACGGTGACCATGGCCATTATATGGTACACGCTGCAGTGCAAACATTGGGCGCCAGCCGAATTTCTAGCCGGTGCGCTCATTGCGGAGTTCGGCCTGATTCAGGACGAATACAAGAACGCGCACGCTGTAGCTCTGGATCCGGCGACCGACGTGGAAAAAGACAGCGACGAGTTCCAGATCAATCTTCCGTCTTCGACAAAGAATGCAATAGGCAAAGCTTGGGAAATCTTCTGGTGGTGCCAGCTTGTAATAGCGCTCTACATCTGTGGTTGGCCCATAGCCAAGGCCCACGAGGTCCCTTTTTTCCGATGGCTGCAACAAAGATCGCCAGATAATCCTTGCCCGGACACATTCTGGTTCATACCGGTCTCGTTTTTAATCGTTGGTGCATGCCATCAGCTGGCTCCACTACAGAAGATCTTGACAACGCCATTCGTCCAGTACTGGGCGTCGATATCCTATGCGCTATATCTTATGCACGGTCCGGTGATGCACGCTGTGTACTTTACCATGGAACCCATTTTCCGCATGAACGGTGGGAAGGACGGCGCTGGTTTTTGGGGCTATCATCTTCAATGGTTGGCTGGGCTTTTTCTTACTGGTATACCCATTGTGTGGGCATCTGATCTGTTTTGGAGATTTGTGGATCAGCCGTGCGTCGACATGGCGAGGTGGCTGGATCGAAAGTGTCTAGACAAGCAGGACTGATTGAGGGCTACGTGTCGCATTTGGCCGGCTCTCACATCGGCGGGCATCGCTGCAGGCTAAATTTGTAAGCCGTGAAGACGACTATATACGGTGTATTGAAGCCTGGGCGAGTGGTTAGTGTATGTTGGCCTTACCGTCCTTCTATTGACTGGACATTCAAGACCTCCGAGCGTTATATGCCTTGCACTGGCACCTCTGACACCTACCTCCATAACCAGAAACGTGGAGTGTGCGTGAAATAGTATGCAGCTGACGTGTGTGAATGAAAGGGGACGTAGTAGTCCAAATGGGAGAAAGGTTTGGTGCCGGGTTCACTCGCCCCGTTTTATTTTACTTAGTCAGGAATGGATTAGCCCATCTTCGAAGACGGCAAAGCGTCTGTGGTTTTCACTCCTCTTTCTAGTTTTCGGGTGATTCTAAAGCTTTTAGGCTCTCTGCCTTCTTAGCTTTTCGCTTTCGTTGTCTCATCTTGATATTGAAAGACTTCGTCAAGTTCCAAGCCATCGCCTCTGTCTCATTTTCAGACACGATCACGGTCCTAAATCAAAACGTGTTAGTATGATCGATTCACTAGACCCAAGCGGGGTATTGTCTCACTGCGAGTCCTTTATCTGGCCCACACTCTCTCTGTACCCAATTTCCCTCTCAACATTCTCAAGCAAGCGAAAAAGCTGTCCGTTACATAGCGATTCATTTCGCTCCTGTTTTTGATGCTGATGGCATCTGAGAACGATCGTATCCTCATCATGTACATAATATGGCGATTTCTTGATTTTCTCAATTACCTTGGTGGAGACATATTTCCTCAATAAAGGAATTGGTGTTTTCAGAACAGCTTCCGACCTTCGCCTGTCTTCTGCCGTTCGCTTAGGCGACGGGCCAGGAGGGGGCGGGGTAGGTGCACTGCGGCCAGCGGGAAAGTCGACCTGAGATATTTTCTTAGGGACCACCGAGAACGTTATGCGACTGGTAGAGACGGCATGGTGAGGCGCCTGACTGCTAGGCTCCTGAACATTGGGATGAGAGTGAGATGCCTGAGACCTCCTTGTCAGGGTTTCCGGACCTCTTGAATCCTGAGTGGCGCTCTCGGGTTGACCTTTTGAACAGTTGGATTGCGATGTGGCTAGCTGCTCACTGGCTGTCAACGCAAACGATTTGTGCCTGTTGTTGCTGTAAAATCGACATGGTGTAAAACTTGCTGGCCGTATCTTCGAGCCTCCCGATGCCTGATGTGGTAGGCCTTGAAGCGCTCGAGCCCTCAGCAAGGGTTCTACCGGATTTCCGTTCTTGTCAGTGGATTGCTCAGGATTGTGCAACGCGTGTGTCCCCAAGCATGACTCAGTTTCTTGCTGAATCAGATGCTTCCGCACGATGGGCTTATGGTTCTGTATCAAATCCTTAGATAGTTGTCTTTTCGAACACAATCGCCAGGCATCCAGTATGGACTGGATATGCATTTGATGAGTATGCTTTATATTGAGATGAAAATAGCATTGAAGGAGAGCAAGCCCGGAGATCAACCTCGCGCCAAAGGCCTCAGCCCTATCGGCAGTCGGTTGATCTCTTAGCGCGATTTGCATTCTTGAACTCCCTTTTTCTGAAGTGTTTTCGGGGGGTACACGCTAGCAGGGGTCGAATGTAGGGATTATCATTTGTCCAATCACTGCGGCTCACCGCTGCTCAAGGATCTGCTTGCTCAGGGGCGCGGCAAGCCAGATATGACCAATGATAAACCCTACATTCGACCTCTGCTAGCGTGTACCCACCGAGCACAGGGAAAGGGATAGAACCTCGGAGGCAGCAGCATGTAGGCCATGCTGATCGAGCGCGCCAAATGTCTCGATAACGAAAGTACTCGTGGATTCCAGAAGTGAGTTACTTGATAGAGCGAGGACACCAATAGATCAAGTGACATGCCGCTAAGTGGAAATATCTATTGGTGTCCTCGCTCTATCAAGTAACTCACTTCTGGAATCCACAAGTAGTTGCCAGATATCCAAAGCATCACAGCCAGACAGTGACCCAACGCCTCTCCGTGTGCGGTGGAACGACTTTATATAGCAAGTTCTCAAGCAAAACGGTACACTCAATAGCCCCGGTTTTCCCACATCCAATCACAGCTCTCTCAACATCCCCTCTAATTCGCCATTAATCCTTGCCCGACAGCCTCCCTTCTCACTCAGAAAGCCTACATTGATGATAACGATGATACTGTGACGAAGATGCTCAAAGCCAATGAAAGAGACCCTTTTCCACCATGCCAAGGTAGTATCGCGACGTGTCTGCTGTAGATGGTTTTGTCTGCGTCCAACATGGTAAATGTGTAGCCACAACGTCCAGAAGACTGTGACTCCTTGCAAGTATTTGAATTTTTCAGACAGGCCAAGCACCGGGCATCTGGTCACGTTTTCTGAACCCCTGAGCACGGGCTAGTTTCATCGACTTCTTCTCCATCCGTCTGTTGGCACGTTCTTGTGCACGATCATAAAGAGGCTTCCGGTTCCCATAGGTGATAGAGTTTTCATATCTTTCACAGCGATCAGACCACGCCGGATACCTAAAGGGCCATAGGTGTTCCCATTCATACCACCAAAAATAATGGTCCAGAAATAGAGAAGCCATATGTCTAAATTCGTCTCGTACGAGGTAGGTGGAGGAGTTAGGATTGATCCACCAATCCCAGGAAACGGAAGGGTGGCTTCCCCAATGATAGATTAGCTGGCGTAGATTGCCGCGCTCAGCGCAGACTGTTCGAGCATTCGGAGTCAGCACGGCGTCTTGAGAACCGATACGATTGTAATCTAGGTTCGGAGGTAAATCATGGGGTTGCGCCCCAAGGAAGCGTCTAGAGCTTGTCTCGTGTATCTTTCGGTGGTGCTTATTGGGAATGAACGGTCCTCAGATCACTTACCATAATGAGGATAAGTCAGCTGCATCTGTGCGGCATGTAGCACTTGCTCTTCTTCAAGATAAGCCTTAACATCGTATCCTTCGCTCGACAGGATTTCCAACCAGCGGTCAGCGGCCGCTTTTCCTTCGGAAGGTATCCAGGTCCACATAAAAAGCTCGTCTAGTGGAGTGCCATATTCCAAGATTTTACATGGATACATGGGGCCAAGATAGTCGTGTCTTTTTTCTACTACTAAAAATTCTCTAGGCACAGGCACGTGAAGACCCACTCTTTTGCGAAGGAGAAGCCGAAGAAAACTCTCCCATGTCGACGATTCTTGGCCGTATTCTCTCAATGCTGTAGCCAAGATAGGGAAGGGGTCCTCACCATCGGAAGCATCTGACTCTGATGGGATCAACTCTTGTAAGAGCATAAACTCCGCAGCTTCCACCGGCCCCATAAAACACCTCCAGAACTTAGATATCTCCCACGAAGAGATCTCATTTTGAGATTGTGTCAGAAGCCTTAGAGTATCGACTGACCTCTCTGCAGGTATACTGACCCCGTAAGCTGATTTGCTCATCGCTTTTCTAAATAGATGATCAGATATGTTGGGATGTTTTCGGGAACCGTAGGTGGTCGGTGTCTCGCCACTTACAGCCCGGTTTGATCCACATGGTTGGGATCTACACCCACATCGAGCAGTAAACTACAGATCTCAAGCTCTTGATTACATGCGGCTATCTAGTGCCAGTGAATACATAAGTCGTCTACACCATTGGGTTCTCAGAGGACTCACATGGAGTAAAGACCAACCCTGTTCGTCCACCACAAATGGAGAAACAGCACCGCTACTCAGCGCGACCTGCAAACCCTGTAAATCACCCGTAAAACACATATCAAAGATTGGCGCTGTTTCTTCCAATACAGGATATGTGCTCAGCGTCCTCGAGATTCGGCCAAAAGAATTCTGAAATCGCAGCTCGAGAGTCTTACGCAAAAAGATTGGCGTCATTGTGATGATTGTCTCGTTAGATGTTGTTTTGATTCCAGATTTGCGAGTGTTTGATCTGTTCAACGAATTTGACTTGGATTGGATGTTGACCCTTCCGAAAAAACCGCGATACCAGATCCGATAAGTCTCTTTGGTGATGCTACGAAAAACTTCTCTTGGTGCGGACGGGTATGTTTTTTGTGCCATCTCATGCGAAAGGGTCCTGATAGGTGTTGCAACTGACGGGTCTTCGATCACTGTACCTTGCAGCCCGACAGAGCTTGTGGCGTGGATGTGATGCATCCTACTGGATGATCAGCAAACGACAACTCAGTCAAAGCGCTATTGGTGTACTGCAGCTGCCACGAATTACTCAGCATAGCCGTTTGCAATCCAGTCTCGGCATCGCGGAGTTGGCTTTGCATCTCCTGAATATCCTCCTTCTTCGAGACGAACCTCATTGCAGCCCACGATCTCTGCACCCGGTTTCGATGATCCATTGACTTTTTGGCTTTCTGAATGACATCCTCGAGCGTCCTGATCCTTTTCTCGCAGCTCTCCAAAGCATTTGTAATGAACACAGGCGAACCAGGTAGGCGTAGCACTAGATACTGTTGCTCAAGGAGATAGCTGACTTGTTTCAAGGTGCTGTTGAGTTGGTCTAAAGTCTGGCCTAATTTGATGACCTCACTGGGTGCATCTTGAACACCGCTTAGGAATTCGCTGATCTTTTCGCCTGTCTCCACGAGCTGTATGGCGAGCGAGACCACCGCGAGTGCACTCGAAACGCCGTCCATGCGGGATAGTCAGAAGGTATATAGTCTGTCGAATAGCAGAAACGAGCACTCCAGATAGTCTTCTCTATTCGAGACCTTGTCGCGAAGGCTCCGGGGACAGGCTGAGTCAGGTGGGCTTAGAAGCAGAGCCGGTCCTCGCAAATATCGCGGAGGGGGCTGCTTTCACATTCGGCGAATGGGTTTCAGGAAAGCACGTCGGGTCTGAGCTGGAGGGTATGTTGTTGAAAGTCAAGTGTCGTCGAGATGGGGCTGAGGCTGACGGAAGGATAGATCAGGCTGAAGGCGGGACACGCCCTGCATATCATCACACCAATCAGAATTAGACATTTAATGTACCTCGGTGATACGCGTAGTCGGTATGATGTACCGATTGAAACGCTGTAGGATCTAAGTATCTATCTGTCTCCAGTAAACATGCCAGCCTACGCTCTTTCCCTTTCAAACCTTTTGGACGGCGCCATGGTATTTGTTCGCACTGGTCTACCCTCTGCCTCTGGACCTGATGAAGGAAGTACGTGGCATCAGAAGAAACGTCTCAATTGATTATGCTAATGCCCACATTCGTCTCCCAAAACGAGCACATCCTTAGCATCAAGATTCACATCAGGCCTCTCTCGAACAACCTTCAATCTCAGGACCTTCTGTGACACCACCTTTGGTATCCGGTTATGCCTGACGACAAGGCGAACGTCACCCTCCGTAGTTTTGCGGACTACCACAAAGTAACCACCGCCGATCTTGCCGACCCAGTACTTCTGACCATCTTCAAGCCGTAATTGGGACGATGTTTCTGCCACGGAGTTCCGATCTGTGAGATCGCGATATATAGAAGTGAAGAGAAAATCTCCAGGCTGTTGCAGAAATTGTATCATGTAGGGCGAATTACATTTTCATACCCCAAACTATGGGATTCTTACAAATTCATACCCCATCTTACATTTTCATACCCCAATGGGGTATGAATTTATAAGATACCATTAACAGGGGTATGATTTTATAAGATATCATTTATAGAGATATGATTTTGTAAGTTGCCATCTAATAGGGCGGGTCCTGGATGTTAGGAATTATTCCTCCGGGGGCCCTGCGGGGCCAAAGACCAGGCTCTATAGGTGTCTGTAGCGTGAAGTGCAAACACCCCTATTTAAACCTTTAGCGGTAACTCGGGTTACTAACAACTGGGGTAGGTAGCCTGGAACACCCTAAAATACCCTTCTAATGATTTACAGGTATAGGGATGTTGGTGGTATCTTACATTTTCATACCCCAAGAAATGGTAACTTACAAATTCATACCCCATTTTTTTGGTGAGGGGTATGAAAATGTAAGATGGGGTATGAATTTGTAAGAATCCCATAGTTTGGGGTATGGATTTGTAAATTGCCCGTATCATGTACAAGAAGGAATAGATTTTGAAATGGGCCAGCAGAAAAAAGTGCACGGCCCACTTCCCCAAAACAAGTAAGCTCCCGAAGACCCGCTTCGATGTGAAAGCCTCTGTCCATAATCCCAGTAAGTGTCATCTCTCTAGGTCAAAAAATTTCCCAAGAAAAATGGGAGAATATGGGCCCAGACGACCTGGCGCGCAGAACACCAATCCAAATCCTAAGAATCGCGTACCCAAGGAACAAAATATGCAGCTGAGACTTGACGCCCCGAATCCGGAAACATCCCACGATGGACGGATTCGAGATCGGACGAGGACGGAAAAATGCATAAAGAGCCTTAGACCGATGGCGGAACACTTAGATCAGGTCCCCCCCCCCTGTAGGTAAGGGCTGGATTCGTATTTGCTGACGCGGAATCACGGAGATCCTTGAATGTCTGGAACGCTATCCACCACGTGGCGTCCCGAGTTGGGCGGTTCTCGGAAGAGGACCGATGTGGAAGGGTCGCGACGGAACTTTTCGTTCGGGAGGAAAGGGACATTCTTGAAGCGAGTAGCTGATTCGAGAGACGGGGTGGGTTTTTGTATGATTATCTAAGGAGCGTAGGGGAGTTTGAAGATGTTGCTTTTGTGAATTGAGGGATCGTTCATAGATTGGAAAAATACAAAAAGCTCGCTTGCAGCTAAGGTATACCATATATCATCAAAATCATGAATTCGTGCTAGAAGAAACTGCTGATCAATGCTTAGGCCATAATCTCCCTCTGCGAGGGCATCGCCTTCTCCTCGCCCGCAAACTCATCCGCGTCATGGCCCATAGCCTCCCTCCTATGCACCACAGCCGCCACGGCATCATCACCCGCCGCATCGTACATATCTGAATCATGCGCGACGCCGAATTTGTGACCGAGTTTCTCGGGTCCGGCCAGGGCGAGGATGATCACGTAGGCGAACACGCAGCCCATGAAAATACAGATGACTTTGCCGTAATCGTATCGCTTCGTCTTGACACCCTTGGCGCTGATCAGGGGCTGAAGTGGGAATCGTTCGCCGATTGTGCTTTCGATGGTTGAAGATGCGGAAGAGACGAGGTTGCCGAGCTGGTAGGATGTGCCGACGACGAAGGTACGGAAAGATCCTGGTGACAGTTCCATGAGATGAATTGGGATAACGCCCCATGCTCCCTGCACGCAGAACTGTTCGAAGAAGGCTGCGGCGATGATTTTGTGGCTGCTGGTGAAGGTATATGGGTAGAGCAAGGCACCGCCGATGATGGAGATGAAGATAATACTAAAGCGGCGGCCGAAGATCTGGGAGGAGTAGCCGACGACGGTGCCGCCCGTCATGGCGCCTAGATTGGCGACGACTTGGGTTACGGTGACGGCGTTGGCGGAGAATTCGAATTGATTTTCTAACATCAGAGGGTACAGGTCTTGGGAGCCATGGGACATGAAGTTGAAGCCAGCCATGAGGAGGACAAGGTAGAGTAAAAGGATCCAGTGCTTTTTGAGCGCAACCCGGCCTTCGGCGAGAAAAGTACTTGTGAGGTTGCCGCTGACTTGGCGGACGGCGGCTCGGTCTTTGAACGCAGCGGTCTCGGGTAGGCAGAGACGGAAGATGATGATCAGGACGGGAGGGCAGGCTCCGAACCAGTACAGAGGGCGCCAGCCGTGAGAAGTGGTATCTACTAAGCCACGGGCGAAGGCTGTGGCGAGAAGGTAGCCAAACGCGTAGCCTTGTTGCAGCATGCCAGATATCAGACCTCGAGCTGCTTCTGGACAGTCTTCAAGAGCAGTGGCTGCTGCATTGCCGTATAGACCACCCATAGCTACACCGAAGAGGGCGCGGCATGCGAGAAATTGCTTGTAGGTCTGGCAAAAGCCAGTGCCGAGTTCGAGGATGATGAATAGGATATTGTTGACGACGAAGGGCCATTTTCGGCCGTATCTATCTGCAGCAATACCTGAGTCGAATTAGCCGGACGCTGTAACAATTGGGAGCGACTGTATCTTACCAAAAGCAATACTTCCCACGGAACGGAACATAAGCACTAGGGTAATACCCCAAGTGATCTGAGTATCCTCTTTCCCAAATTGCTTTGCGAGTTGTGGCACGGTAAGGGAGACTGTGAAGAAGTCGAAGGCATCCCATGACCAGGCCAAAAAACCGACGAGGAAAAACAACCATTGCTGGAGGTTGAGCATGGCGAGGAGTTTGAAAGGATTTGGGGCCTTGTTCATTGGCGGCTTCAGGGTGGAGAAGCGCGTACTGATGTACCTCCCTGGCGACATCTTCTGCAGGTCTGCAGTCTCAAAACGAGGATCCGAGTCGCGCGACTCGTCGCGCTGCTTGTCGTAAACCATCTCGGAAGCGGATTGGTGGGAATTGAAGTTGAAGACCCGGAGAGGATGGAGGAGAGTCGAAGAAGGAAGAGGAGTGGAACGGATATAGGTACGTACTTATGTAACGGTTGATTGCGGGGCACCACGAGCCACTCTCCTTGGCATTGGCAATTGGCGGGGGAGGGCTAGACTGCATTGAGGTTCCGCTTAAGGTTCCGCTCTCTTCCATTGGAGCGAGAAGCGACCGTTGACGACTGCCGTGAAATTGACTTCAATAACAGGCCATTCGAGCCACATATTTTAGAGTAGTGATTCCTTGTGCCACGAGGCAGCCGAAACATGGAGGGATTGCACGCGTCTAGGAAGTTCAAGATCCTTCAAAGGCTATCTTATGGCTGGCCTTCCGTGGTGTCCACGCTTCTTCTGCCAGTATTGGGCCATAAATCCAAGAGACGAAACCTTACGGAGACAGCACGAGCATATCAAAGCATCTTTCTGAACAAAGAGAATGGATAGCATCATCAAGGAGACGTTACCTCCCTCAACACCACGAGCAATAATAGCTCTAAGGTAAGATACTTCAACGAACGCTAGTTTCTCAGCCTGAAAGCACGAGAACATTCGACCTAACTTACCGTCAGCCGCGAGGACGGTGGTCGTTCATATTGCGATGCAACGATGCTTTGAATATGTTGCGGGGAACTGCTCTCCACTGCTTAGGTGACAGGCCGTCGACCGAGATCTATGACTTGAAACCTAGATGCGAGCACCGCATACACCGAGGCCCTCATGGGAAGCCAGATCAAGCTACTCCGATTTCTCCCTTGGGTATTGAAGTCAAAGACCATACGCTTTCCAGAAACAGGCCTGTTGGAGTCCATAGTTCTCTCATATTATTCTCAGCCGAGTTCTCTTTCTCCTGTGGCGCTCTGACTGAGTCTGCAGCCGTTCCGGACGGACATGTATGCCGTGGAGGAGGTTGAAAATTTTGCTGTGGCGGAGATGGTGTTGGGTCATAAATAGGAATTCGGACACTGGGGCTCTATTAATGTTCTTCGTATATGTTATGCAAATTATGCGCCTCCCAATAATAATGCATGCACAAGTGTTTCAAAAAATTCGAGCGCACGGCCGAATATTTTCCCCGACTCCTACGATCTAAAATCCGATAAATTTGAAGCTTCAGTAATGCGGCTTTTCACAACAGTATAATAAAATATTGACACATCAATTTATAAAACGTAGGACAAGATTTCTAAGAGTTCAAGAATTTTTGAGTGTGATGAAGTCTGAGCGAATTCTTTAACCCTACGTCACGTAACGGAGCGGGGGTGAGGTTAGGGTGAGTTTTTTTGAGAGGGTATCCTAAGTAGCGGGCATTACCGGGTACAACTGTATACACGAGTAAAGCTGAGGCGGCTCTCCAATCCTTGGCCCGAAAGTCCGCAGTTTCTCCGCCAGCATACAAATCAATGGTGATTTCCAAATTTTCACTCTTCACGAAGTGTCCGGCCGAGAGCAGTAAACGCCGTGTCCGACAATGGCACTGCCATCGCTGCGCGGCCGTGATGGCTTCGTGTATAAAGGGGTGACGGTTCCGGCGGAGAGGAGTGTCCTCCAGAATACGAGCTGTCCACGCCGTCAGCCCGATACGGTCAAGTCTTGGGTCCATGTCCTCGAGTGCCAAATACCTTCGCCCTCTCCCTAGGTCCTTTCGATTCGCCAAAACTCCGAGTCCCTTGAGCAACGCCGAAGTACCGGCGACCGCAATGACAAACACCAAGCCTCTCCTAGCCTTTTACGGTGCAACAGGTGGTTCCACCCTCGCAGCACTCGTGCCCGCTCTCAAAGCCGGCTACGATTGCACTGCTCGTAAGCATCCCTTCTCTCCACTGCCAACCCACCAGCTAAAATCCCCATCAGTCGTCCGCACCCCATCCAAACTCACCGCCCTCCTTCTCGAAAAAGGCGTCCCACAATCCGCACTAGACACCCACCTCACCATCTCCAAAGGCGACGTCTTGAACACCCAAGACTGCAGGGGAACCCTGACCCTCAACGGCCGCACCGCCGACATCATCATCTCCGGCATCGGCGTCCCCCCCACAGGTCCCGAAATCACCGTCTGCACCACCACCGCCAACAACATCCTCTCCGCCCTCCCGACCCTGCCCCCGACCGCATCCGGGACGAAACCCCTCTTCGTCGCCCTCTCCACCACCGGCGTGTCGGACGGACCGCGCGATGTCCCGCTCCTGTTCGCGCCGCTGTATCACTGGTTCTTGGCGAATCCGCACAGGGATAAGAGAAATATGGAGAGGGCGATTGGGGAACAGACGGATAACTTTGTGATTGTGCGTCCGAGTCTTTTGACGAATGGGAAGGCGCAGGGGGGGAGGAAGATTAGGGTTGGGACTGAGGGGGAGCCGGTCGTTGGGTATGTGATTAGTCGGGAGGATGTGGGACTTTGGATGTTTGAGAATCTGGTGCAGGGGGATGGGGCTAGGTATGTGGGGCAGAAGGTTATTATTACTCATTGAGAGGGGGGAAGGAAGGGGTGGGAGATGAGGATGGTAGGGGCGGTGGTAATGGGACGAGAGAGGGCACGGAATGCGGGAGAAGCGATGGTTGTTCGTGTACGGTGTTCCGCTGCTTTTATGAATTTTAGGACAGGTTAACCGAAGATACAATCGTCACAGCAATCTACCTTTCTCAAGATTTTCACAATCATAACCACTCGGACCTTCTCAATCTCCCCATCTCTCGCTGTGTCCACGTCGCTGGAACGCTACTTTAGGTCCAGGGGCAAGTCCCGACAAAGTGACCATTCTTGGCTCCCGCCAAACCTGACATTCACAGATTTATTCTTTCAAAAGAGGAACTCTCTAGACCAGCCGCACTGGCAGAAAACGCAAAGGTAGCAATGCTAACACTCCGCTCGACAGGGTGAAACCCGCCCGCACACGACATAAAACCTCTAGCACAGGCCCGAACACGCGCGTTGCTTCATCAATCGTTGAGACATCCATAGACACGCATTAAGTAAAGCAAAGCAACATTCAACCATCATAACCATCATCATCCTCGTCACCGCCGAGGGCATACTCCAAGTCTTCCCGCTCACAGCTTCGAGGCCCAAGGCCGAAATGCCTTCTCTCACGCCCAATCGCGTAGGGATCTCTGCTACGGCCCACGTATGGGCCCCTCCTGCCGAATTGCTCGTCTTCGTCTTCATCGTCGGTGTCGTCTCCGTGGCGAGCGTTACGGCGGGGATGTTTTGGAGGGCGACGGTGGTAAGGGGGTGGGACTGGATAGACGACGAGGGGATTTAGGCGGGTGCGCATGAAGCTTTCGCTTGAGACTTGGCTTATGGCTTCTCCTTCTTCTTCTTCTTCTTCTTCTTCTTCTTCTTCTTCTTCTCCTTCTTCTTCTTCTTCTTCTTCTTCTTCTTCTTCTTCTTCTTCTTCTTCTTCTTCTCCTTCTTCTTCTTCTTCTTCTTCTCTCTCTCCTTCTCCTTCCTCGCGGCCCCAATGATAGCGGTGGCTAGAGGCAGATCTGTGCTCGTCTCGAGGCTCGTCTTCATCGTACATCCAAGGATGCGCTCTTAGCGGCTTGCGTACATGGTCCCTACTATGGGGGCGAAGCGGGGCATGTCTTACTCTATCTCCGTGAGGATCGTACAACTCACTTTCAAAGTATGGCGGAAGACCTCCAGCTATGGGGACTCTGCGTACCATACGCGGCTGGCGGTCTCTTTCTCTGTGAACTTCGTACATTCGGTCTCCGGGAATTTCACAGATCTCGTTTGTAGGAAGTGGCGGGCGGTTCCTGGGGTCTCGCACGCCGAGGGTTTGGTTTCCGCGATACGACGGGCGGCCTTGATTGTGGTCGTATCTTTGCCATGGGTACCGCTGCTGTCCACGTACATGAGTGCCGCGTCCATCAAGCCTAGGCGGCTTGCCATGCCAATACTCATCATTGCCGCCATTTCTGCGGTCTTCAGGTCGTTTGTAGCGTGGACTTTCTCGGCGTGGGTAGAGCTCTTCTTTATATCGCTCTCGATTAGGGTGCACGTGAAGCCAGAACATGAATTCATTTTCATATCTTGCTTTGCGGTCTGGCACGTGTTTGCAAGGGATGGTGAATCCTTGACGCTGCCATTGGGCTCGTTCATGTTCGAACTCACGATAAACAGGGTCCTGTGCGAGACCATCCGGGATCCAGTCTGAACTCTCTGGATCGTTTCGAAGTAACGATTTAATAGGGTTATCTGGACGTACAGTGATAGGTTTCTCACCGTAGAGCACAGGAGGTAGTTCGAAATTTTTCCCATCACGCAAAATGGTGCGTGGGCGATTGTAGGTTCCGGGATCTCTGCCGCCGCGTTGATCGTTTTTGACACGCATGTCCATTTCTCTCATGGCCGCCTTCCTCATGGGCCACCTTGTGCCCGGCGCAGGAATTGTATGGCGTGGCATGGCGTAGAGAGAAACGTGATCGACAGCTTGAAGCGCACTATGTAATTAAGTACTTATAAACTGCTCCGGAACTCGGGTCAACGAAGGACTTTAGAGATTCTTTCTTGGCTACGGTGAGAGAGCAGAAAAGGGTCAGGAAGGTAGGTGCCACCTACTTAAGTAAGAATGTAGAAGATCGTCCGGGGTCTTCAGGTGATTGACAAATATGAAGCAAAGAAAGATTGGCAGAAAAAGCAGGCCATAATATGTTTGCAGGGCAATCGGAAGATGCTCCGGCCCGCCTGCGCAATCAGGCATCCTCAGGCTATCCAATGACTTATCGTACATTCCATGTAGGCAGACTCATCAAAGAGACTCACATTGTTTGAGACGACCCCGTATGTAGATATTAGGTAACATATTGTTCGAAGAGTATGCAGGGAAGAGAACTTCCTGAGATGCACTTTACCGTGGGAAGTTCGGGTCGAGAGGGCCTTTATCTGCCTTATGAGAGCGATTCCCTGGATGGAAAGAGCCAAGGTACATGTCGGCAAAGATTTACTA